AGAGTTTAGCCAAAAGGACGTCCAAGAAGACGGCGCCGCCGCTCACCTCGACGTTAGGTGTCGTCAAAAATGTCAATCTAATCGACCCGTTGCTGATGGCAACGGTTCCGCTGCCCATGAAAACCAAGCAGACGTCAAACAAGCCATTGCTTAACAATAAGGAAGAGTTTCCGTCGCTTCCGGTGACTAAGAAGAAGAGCGGTTCCCGTAATAGCGGTTCGGCTCAGAGTTTGAGTCAATTGAATAATAATAACAATAGTTTTGGTGCGAGGAATGGATCGGCGGTCGAGTGGAGTGTCAACAGTAGTAGTAGTAGTGGTTCCACACAATTAAACAATAATAACACGAAAAACGTGTCTAAAACGCGAAAATCTGAGCCCAAACTCCATTCGTTGCCTAATATCGAGGACTTCCCGGTGTTGGAGACGAAGGTGAAGAAGACCTTCAACAGCGCCACACCTCCCGGGATGCCATCCAAACCGTTCACTAAAATCATGTCACAAACCAAATCCAAGAAACCTCCGCCCGGACTGCCAGCCGTCCAGAAAAAGTTTCCCAACCTATCGCTCAATTCAACAGCGCCACACCTCCCGGGATGCCATCCAAACCGTTCACTAAAATCATGTCACAAACCAAATCCAAGAAACCTCCGCCCGGACTGCCAGCCGTCCAGAAAAAGTTTCCGAACCTATCGCTCAGTTCTGTGGCTCAGGAGGTGATCACTACGACCACCGCCGGTGACACTGATATGAATGGCGAAGACTTTTATTACATAAATCCCGTGGACTTCACTGAACGGAACCAATCGCTGGTGCGAGAGGTGGAGCAGGTGTTGAGCGACTCGACGAAGTTCTCGCGATTCAAAGAGACGTCCCTACAGTTCCGGCAGTCGGCCATCACTGGTGAGCAATACTACGACAAGTGTATCGAATTGTTCGGCAAAAAGAAGTTTATGACAATATTCTCGGAACTGTTGGTTCTGTTGCCGGATATCTGCAAACAGAATGAGCTGTTGAGCGCTCAACGAATGGACACTAAAGGCTCGAAGGGTGCCGTTCCCAAGGGTTTCAAACAATTGAGTGATAACCTCTTGTCCAACGAGTTCTCTGTGTGCGAGAAGTGCCGACAAGTGCTCGTCTCTAAGGATCAAAGTCATCACATGTCAGTCCATTAACACCCGGACTCTTGTATTGCATTTCAATTCAAATCTCTATTTGAAATGATTTATATATTTTTATAATTATAAATACCATTTGAATGCACAAAGATATGTCATCATAAAAGCATGTGTTTGTATTGATAGTAATTGTTGAAATAAGCGATAATTTAATTGTTATTAAATATGAGAATTTATTCTTAAAAACTATAAATATATTTTTAATTTTTGTTAATAAATGACTCATTTTTATATCTCGATTTGATTTCTTAAAGCATTTCGAGTTGTATTGAATCACTCGAATGGTTTGCAACCGAAATGATACCCAATTTAAAAGTAATAACTAATGAAAAGTGATGTAGTCTTGAGAAACAGACAGTGAAATCGCTGTACAAAATGACACCAATTTGTATGCTTATAGATTGCAGTACGCATTCGCAGTGCTTTCGGATAAGTGGCTATCAATGGATGAGTGAATGGCTTGAATCTGACGATTGATTTGGAGTGTGTTTTTGCCATCGATTGCAATCAATTTGTGCCATAAGCTCACTATTATTAGAGTTTATAAATAATTGTATTTTTGCCGATTAATACATTTCATTTGAATCATGAATAACATGAACGCGGCGTTTGGAGCGGCCAAAGCGGGTATGACTTCCCCCTCCATCACAGCTCTATTCATTCAAATTAACGCTTCATTTTGATACGAATTTATGTAAAAATTTAATTTAAAATTTCATTGCTTTTAGGCTCTGCTTTCGATCCAATCGGTTATGTGATGAGACCTCAAGTCATTCTCCGGTTTATCTGTTGGGTTAGTGTTGAACAACAAGTCTTGAATTGCAATTTAGTAACACATTAGTTGCCAATCATTTTATTTGAACCTTCAATTAATAGTTTAATATATTTGAAGCCAGTCATAATGTAATCAAGATGTTTTATTTATTTATTTTATAAATGTGTGCAATATATGAGCACTGAATCATTGGTAGCAATATGAATGCATACGAGTGAATGCCATACACTTAAGTAACATTTCGGGGGGTTTTAGTGTATTTAATAGATTTTTGGGTCACTTTAATCATGATTTTAATTAACTTATATATTTTTAAACAAATACATTTAACTCATTAATTTAAATTTAAATAATTAAACAAATGATTGTATTTGTAGTTATGTTCAGTCATTGTGTTCGGGTGTATATCAGCCAATGGATGGACAAAAGAGGGAACAGTAGATAAATGTTTGTTTAACAAGGATAACAACGCCTGCCGTCTAGGCTCGGGATTGGGTTTCATCGGCTTCTTAGCCAGCATTGCATTCCTAATACTCGAGGGATTGTTTCAAAACCTGTCGAGTATTAAAATAAGGCGTCGAGTCGTGGCATTTGACTTAGGATTCTCAGGTACTCTTGTCCTATATTTCTCCATTAATTCGTTTAACAATACGTGCTTTTAAATAATAGGACTCTGGGCAGTGCTTTACTTAATATGTTTCGCATACCTGGGCATCGCGTGGGCCAACTCCCAAAAGCCGCCATTCGGTGAGGGTATCAATAGCTGCAGAGCTGCCATCGCTTTCTCATTCTTCTCTATCGCTTCGTGGGTCAGTCTCTCTCTCTCTCTCTCTCTCTCTCTCTCCCTCTCTCTCTCCCTCCCTCTCTCTCTCCCACCCCATTATCACCAACACTCTCACACCCACTCTTAAAATTAATTATTAATCTATGACTACATATACTGTATGTTTGTGTCCCTCCCTGTGCTGTGAAGGCCGGCTGTGCTTACTTCGCGCACATTCGTTGGAACGCCGGCACAGATATGACTCAATTCGCCGCCGGTTATGAGAACGAGGAGGTCGGAGGCGTTCCCGGAGCCGGATATTCGGCGTACACCGGGGCCACCGAAGAGCCCCAATACCAGTCGAACCCATTCACGAATGTACCGCAGGACCAGATGATGGACAGCTCCGGTATCAACTACGCGGCGCCTACCTATTGATTTGTGTTAAAACATATTTATTTTAACATAACGTTTAAATTGAACATAAAAACAACAAATCGATGCAATAGTTTCTGAGTTAGCGATAGTCGAGTATTGATAACTAATAACATTATCGGTGTCTAAAAGCATTACAGCATAAGACAAACGATATTAAGTTTATTGTAAAGGCGTTTACGATTGATATTTACGTGACATTAAAAGACAGGCGTTTTATTTATCATGTTTTTGGCGATAAAACTCATTCAACATATTAGTGATAATAGTTAGAGCATTATATTAGCGTATGATTTGTTTAAACCACACGTCAATTAGTCATTCAAACGATTTATTAGTTTTTTTATGAATACATATTCAGCATTTGATATGTGCTTTGGGTTTATCTATGTATCAATATATAAATGACTATAAATTATTTTATTAATTGTTTTAATAAGCAATAAGTTTATCAAATTATGTGATTACTTCCCAAACCCCTACTCATTGTTTGAATGCCTGAAATACACGGTATTTTTTTGCTACAAATACATAGAGTTTTATTTATGGTCACAATTCAATGTTTGTCAGTTTCTATACAACAACATAGACATAAAAGTTACGCTAAATAAGTTACACACATTGGAAACAATTCCTTATATTTGTGTTGATCTCAACAAAAAGCGAAATATAAAACAATTATCTCGATCTCATATCCCAATAATCCATTATATAATCCATTGTATCTCTAAACGAATCGCATTATAATATTGGATGTGAATTGAAAAATCGGTGTCAGGTTTGAAAAAATAATTTATTTGTG